ACCCTGCCACCGAGTGAGAACCCTGAATTTGACCCTGAAGAGGATGAGCCCAACCTTGAGCCTTCGTGGCCACATCTACAGGTGTGATGGGCGTGGGAGCAGGGTCTGCATTTCAGAGTAGATTGGAGGGCTGGGGAAGAGCCTGGCTGTTGAAATGAGAGCCGCAGGGTAAGGGAAGTGGGCCAGGCTGTAACTAAACTCACCTTTTGGTCTGTCTCTCGTCCCCAGCTGGTATATGAGTTTTTCCTACGTTTCTTGGAGAGTCCAGATTTCCAGCCCTCTGTGGCCAAGAGATACGTGGATCAAAAGTTTGTCCTGATGGTGACTTGGGGAGCCCAGGCTGGGTGGGACCATACAGCAGGCACAGGCTACCTGAAGGACTTGGGGATAGGATAGGAAAAAACAGGGGTTGACATCTGGCCTTACCTTACCCCAACCCTGGGTTCCTACAGCTCCTGGAGCTATTTGACAGCGAGGACCCCCGGGAACGTGAGTACCTCAAGACCATCTTGCATCGGGTATATGGCAAGTTCCTGGGTCTCCGAGCCTACATCCGCAAACAGTGCAACCACATCTTCCTCCGGTGCGTGCCTGCTCCCTGCCCAGCAGAGACCTGGGAGGGAGGCAGAGAAGGAGGGAGGAAGGGATCTGCTGGATGTTTATCAGGTTCTGTCTCTGTGTGAAGTCAGCAGAGAATGAGATTCATTTCCATTTTACAGATTAGAAAAGAGAGACCAAGTGACAACGATACGGGAAAAGAGGCCAATTAAGTAGAGGGAGGAGGGCAGCTCAGTGGAACATAGGCTCTAGATTGTCTGATCCTTATCAGCCTGGCCTGTAATGACCCCCAAGTAGTTCTTTCTACAAACAAGTACTGAGCACCATACCCATTGGACACAGGGAGCCTGTGACCTTGTGGTTGAGACCATGGTTGTGTATCTGAATTTGGTCTCAGTGTTTGGGTAAATTTAGGCAAGTCCTTGAAGTGGGCAAAGTACCTGTGCCAGATGAAGCCAGATGGGCCTCCAAAGCACCTGGCGCAGCTCCTGGCCTGAGGTGGGGCCTCTGAAATATTAGCTGTTGGCCCATGCTCTCCGGGAGCTCATAGTCCAGCAGCCCCCACTCATTAACTCTGAGGCAGCAGCCTCTAGCTGCAGTCTCACCTTCATCTCTAATGGCTTCCATAGCCCCGCCTCCCAGGGGGATTTGGAGAATTACAGTGCAGGGTGGAGGTGTTTCTCGTTTGGATTGACTACATGAAAGTTGTAGGTCTTAGGCTGGGTGCTTCCTGGCTGGCTGGGCATCAGGTAGTGAGTGCTAGGGACCTGAAGAAATGAGCTAGGGCTGTCTCATGGAAGAGAGGCTGAGCTGGGGCACAGTGTCAGAGATGGCTGGGCTGGGAAATACATTTTGCAGGTGTATGTGGACTCAGAGGGAGCTGGTTTGGGGCACCAGGAAGGGAACACTCCTGTGGGTTGGGGAAAGTTGGACAACTACGTGGGGTGGCTGGCCCTGTCCCAGTGTTCCCACCCTCCAGATTCCTCTCTTCTTCTGCAGGTTCATCTATGAGCTGGAGCACTTCAATGGTGTGGCTGAGCTGTTGGAGATCTTAGGAAGGTGATTCTGAGCTGGAGCTGGGCTTTCTGGTGGGGGAGGTTGGGGGCCTGATTGACTGAACTCTGCTTCTTTCTGTCCACTCCAAAGCATCATCAATGGCTTTGCGCTGCCCCTGAAGACTGAGCACAAGCAGTTCCTGGTTCGAGTCCTGATCCCCTTGCACTCTGTCAAGTCACTATCTGTTTTTCATGCCCAGGTGAGCCCCAGGCCTGGCCCTGCAGCAGCAGCTGCTGCTGACACTCAGGGCTGCCTGTGGGGCCAGGAAGTCAGATTGACTCTCACTGGATCCTATCTTATTCCTGAGACTCTACTAATTCAGTCCTCTCTAGTGAGAGCTGACCTCAGACACCAGCTCTGTGCCTCTCAAGCACTGAGAGCTTTTAAGTCCAAAGCAGCAGTAAGTGCTCAGTAAACAAGAGTGTGAAGGCAGTAATGAGCGGATGCCTGGCACGCTGTCCTGGGCAGCTAGTTCTTGGCGCCTGGCCCTTCGTGACCTTGGCTCCTTCTTTCCACCCTGGTCCTGCAGCTGGCATACTGTGTGGTGCAGTTCCTGGAGAAGGATGCCACCTTGACAGAGCATGTGAGTACCTTGGAGGGAAGGTGGGCCCCTCACTGTGCCGGTCTGACTCCTCTTCCACCCTATAGGTGATCCGGGGGCTTCTCAAATACTGGCCTAAAACCTGCACCCAGAAGGAGGTATGAAGGGCTCTCATACCCTTGGCAGTGGGTGGGAGGGCTTGGCTTCCAGAAGTCGAGCAGGTGTGTGCTTTAGGGGACTGTGAGCTGCTGCCCTGCCCCCTCCCCAGGTGATGTTCCTGGGGGAGATGGAAGAGATTCTTGATGTCATCGAGCCCTCCCAATTTGTGAAGATCCAGGAGCCCCTCTTCAAGCAGGTGGCTCGCTGTGTCTCCAGTCCCCATTTCCAGGTATGTGACAAAGGCAGGTGGGGTCAGGACACTTCCCAGGGGTGTCCTGGGAAGGTTTCTCAGTTGCCTAAAATAGCCCCCTCAGATTCTCTTCCAGCCCTCGGCCTGATAATAGGGAGATGTGGGCTTTAGGGTCAGGAGACCTAGGGTCAGATCTCAGCTCTGTATTCTACTGGCTGAGAGGCCTTGGGAAAAAAATCACTGATCTGAGTCTAAGTGGGTTTTCTTGACTATAAAATGGGTCAGCAATAGTCTCTTCATAAAGTAATGACTGGAACAAGGGCTCAGAGTTGTAAACACATCAAGGAAACTGGGCCAGAGTGGGCTGCAGAACTGTTAGCCGTTTTTTTGTTTTTTGTTTTTTTTTTCTTTTCTTGGTAACATTAGACTTCATTGGTCCCACTTTCTGGCCAGAAGGCTCAGTTCCCTGTGCTAGTCTATACTCACTCTCATTCTTGAGAACCAAAACCTGGTGGAAGTTAGTTCTTCCTCACGATGGCTTTGGTATTTCACTTTTAAAATACCTTGAAGGTCAGGAACTTATTTCATTCTGACAACAGATGGTAGAGATGGGTATTCTTAGCCCCATTCACACAGCAAGGAGCTGAAGCTGAGAAGCTCACTGCTTCACCAAGGCCACACACATGCAGTGGGCTCTGGAGGAGTCAGGACTGCCCCTGTTGATTGTAAAGCCAGTGTTCTTTCCTCTCCTCCATTTGCTTTCTCCAGTGCAACAAATAGGCCCTCAAGATGGGGTGTGCAGATCACGGGAATCTGCACACCCCATTTTGGGGAAGGGTGAAAAGCAGACCTGGTGCACCCAAAAGCCACTACGAGGCCTTCTGTACTCCCTCACCCGCCCAGGTTGCAGAGCGGGCTCTGTATTTCTGGAACAATGAGTACATCCTGAGCCTCATTGAGGACAACTGCCACACTGTGCTGCCTGCGGTATTTGGGACCCTCTACCAAGTGTCCAAGGAGCACTGGAATCAGTGAGTGCCCAAGCTTTGTCCAACTCTTGAAGACAGACACAGCTAGTCCAGTTCCTGGAGCAAATGTCAGGATGTCAAGGGAGTTAAAAGAGCAGGGAAATGGGCAGTGTTCAGGGACAAGTTGAATGGTATTTCATTAATGTCCTCACACCTCTCCTTGATTATGCCAGAACCATCGTATCCCTGATCTACAATGTGCTCAAGACTTTCATGGAGATGAATGGAAAGCTGTTTGATGAGCTTACAGCCTCCTACAAGCTGGAGAAACAGCAGTGAGTACTGAGTAGGAGGCTAGCCACTGGGGAGGGACAGAGCAGTAAGGAGTCAGACCCTCAGGCTCCAGGGAGTGAGAAGGACTCATCCTGGGGTGGCCAGCCTCACCCTTTGTTTCCAGCAGTGGATTGGAGCTGTCCTGCGCGGGTGCAGCTGCCCACTGCATCCCCAGCCATTATATTCACCCCCACTGACTGCTAGCATTCCCCTGTACCAATGTCTCAGTCAAGCAGCTCACAGCCCAGTGCTTCTTCTCCTTTCTCTCCTCACCTCTCTTCTAAGCTGAGGGTTCCTAGTCACTTTACATGGGGTGATAGCGAGGGCGGTTAGACTGCTGGCAGCCGGAAGAGCTGCCTTACCGTCTTTCCCCAGGGAGCAGCAGAAGGCCCAGGAGCGTCAGGAGCTATGGCGAGGCTTGGAGGAGCTACGGCTACGCCGGCTACAGGGGACCCAAGGGGCCAAGGAAGCCCCTGTCCTGCAGCCTACACCCCAGGTGGCTGCCAGTGGGGGTCAAAGCTAGACAAATCTAGAAAGGGAGATGTTAACCCAGAGCTATCAGCCCCTCCATCCCTTCTGCCCAGGGGCCCAGTGAGGCCCATGCCTCCCTGTGGCCTTGCCAGAATGGCTCTAGGACTCCCTGTCAGCCCCATGGAACAGCTATCATGGGGGGAAAGGGCACACAAGGCAAGGGTGGTAGTCTTGGCAGCAGAACTCGGGCCTTTGTGGCATTCTGGCAAGACTAGACTAGGGCAAGTATGTGACTGGGAAGCTGCCATCAGGGATCCTCCCCTGCCCTACACAGCTGGGCTCCAGGCTGCAGCTGGACTCTTACCCCTGCTCCTGGCCTGGAGCATGGACACACAGCGCCTGGTTTGGTCTGCCTCAGCCTGGCCAGGGCCTTCTTCATCCTCACAATGGGGCACAGTCTATTTATTTTGCCCAGCTTACCCTCAACAAGACACTGTCCAGGGACATCCTTCTCTCCTCTCCTTTGCCCTGTACTTCCTTTTCCCCTTTTTATTTATTGGGCAGGGGGAGGGGTGAGGGCACAGGCAAGAAGAGATTCACGTTGTCCTGGGGTGAGGGGGGGGTCACAGTAATCATGGTCTGCCCCCTTTACCTGGCTGGGGGCAGATTTAATAAAGAGTGAAACTCAAGCGTTGCTTGCTTTACTGAGGACAAGAGTGAGGGAAAGCATGGCAATGAGACTGCTCAGAAGGCCAGGTAGAAGGAGGTGGAGCCCCTTCTTCACAGACTCCAGAGAGGGTCAGAGCTGAAGTAGAATCCTCATTTGAGAGCTCCCATATCTTATCAGTGGCAGCACTGGAGCCTGAGCCCTTCAAGGACTAGTAGCGGGAGAGACGGCACATATCACACTGGCAGGCCCTGGCAGTGAAGATCTCAAGCTCCCCACGCTGGTCCCCCACGCAGTGCAGCCACACCCTCACCTGTTGGAGGAGGGACCCGAGTTTGTTCCCATTCCTTCCCCCCTGGGTCCCTTCCCTCCCTTCACCCCTCCCTCATGTCCCCATCAGGTTCAGGCCCCTCACCTTTTTCAGACTGCTGATGGTGCAGCACTGAGAGACAGAGGTGATGTTGTGCCGATAGCCACTAGCCACCAGCACAGAGTACCGAGAAGGGAAGGCACTAGACTCACAGTGTCCTACACACGCCTGTGCCACATGGGAGCCCTGGCAGGTGCCATGGCGGTCACTTCGCACTGTCACGTTGAAGGCTGGGAAAGAGACAAGAATGCAGCCTGTGAAGGCTGCTGGCTGGGCTTACCTGTGCTTCCGGTCAGCTCAGTGGGAAACCTCTGCTCTCGCTCTTAGTCCACTCTCCTACTGAAGTTACTCACGGTGCAAGTGACAGCCTGGGATGGCTGGCTCCTGATCCTGGCCTTCAGTGACGGCCAGGCCCAGCAGGCAGAGGAACAGGACTCGTGGTGCCATGGGCATCTGAAAAGGAGTGGGTGGGAGGGGGAGGTCTTTGAAGATGTGCCCCTCCACCAGCAAGCCAGGCTACTTGGTCTTCTTGCTTGGTGAGGTGTGCCTGGGTGGTGCTGTCTATGCTCTCTGCCTTGAGCAGGAATGTGTGGGTTATTTGTCTCCCTGCCTGGGTTACTCTGGATGGAACTTTTGTGGTGTTCTTCTGAGCAGACTTTCCCTTGGAATGTCCCTCACATCTGGGGCACAAACCTCTTCCCCCTATCCATGTGCCACTATGGCTGGCAAGGCCCTGGCCCACCACCCTCCTGCCCTCCCCAGCTCCACCTGCTCTCCTGTTTCAGCAGCTTACCAGTCTGCAGGAACAGAGGGCTGTAGACTCCTAGTGCCTCCTGCTGGTTTCCAAACTGGTGCTGGCTCTCAAGGCTTTTAAGTGTGGTGGTTCAGAGCCACGCCTTCCTAGATATCAGTTTTCAGGCCCCTCCTAGCCTGAAGCCTGCCGCATAGTCCCACCTGGAGAGCAGATCTGAGATTTCTTGAAGGCTGTCTAGCAGAGAATACTGGAAGGGAGTGAGGCAAGCCCCAGAGTGCTCCTGTGTGACACATGTACAGCCGGGTTCTTTTCACACTCTGTGAGCTTCCCTGATCAGCCACTCTGTCTAAAAACTACTGCCCTTGCTGCTGTTGCTTATCTGCCTTTTAGTAATTGCAAAGGAATGGGATTGAAAAATGACTTTTCTCTTAAAAGATGATCTCATGCATCCTAGAGGCAACCTTGAACTTCTGATCCTCCTGCTTCTACCTCCCAAGTTCTAAAATCACAGGCAAGAGCCACCATATCCAGTTTCTGCTCTTTTGGGGTCAAGTCGAGGGCCTTGTGCATGCTAGGGAGACACTCCACCAACGCAGATACATCCCAGCCCAAGAACAAGAGCCTCTTGTTCAAGGGGCACCCCACTAATGAGGACACCTAAGCTGTGCTTGATGGTAGACTAGGAGTAGGTCTATTTAGGTCTTCCAGGTCCTGGGAATGCTTTCTCATCATGTGGCCAGCTGCAGAGAAGAATTCTTAGCTAGAAAGTCTCCCTGATTCCTGGAATAACAGGGATCAGTCTCCATCTAAGCAGAACTGGACTACAACCTCAGTAAATCTGTGAGTCCAGTTCTGGCTAGAGAGGAAAGATTACCCACTAAAAGTCATGTTCAGATATCCTATTATGTATCTGTGGTGCTAAATGACACCTGGAACAAGAATGTGACATGTTGAGGGCTGTGGATGTGGTTCAGTGGTAGTAGCAGCTTAAGGTTCTGGGTTCACCCATTTTTAGTACCATTAAAAACAAACAAACAAATCGGTAACAAAAACCTTAGTCAATGTTAGCTGGAAGTTGGAGAAGGGCCCAGAGCAGAAGGTCTATGGTGACAACAGGCAGCACCTTAGACCGTGATCACTACAAGAGTAGGGTAGTTCACAGCTACCAGAGCTCAAGGGTTCCTTGACGCTCTTCAAATCCTGCCTCCTGTTTTCCAATGAGAAAAAAGTGCCACCAAGGTCTTTTGGTTAGATGATTCCAGTCAATATGGGCACTTAGATCTCCACGCTTTGGAGCTGTGCCCTTCAGCAGCAGCTGTCAGTCAAGTCATGCTTGGGATTGTAGGACAAAAGTAGTAAACAGGATTTGGGAGAAACTGGTAGTGCCCACGTCGCTAACACGCCCATCCCTACACCCTTGCTTGCCTTTGGTGTCTCCTTGCTCAGGTCTCAGGCCCTTGGTTGCCTGGCCCTCCCAGAGCACCATATTTCTTCCTTTTCCCTGTCAAAGGGAGAGGCTTGCAGCCAAGCAAAGGGACTCAGAGGGACTTCAGCATTCCAGACTCAGGCTTCCCATAAGGAATCCTCTGGCATGTGACAGGCAAATGGTTATTTAAAGACCTGAGGTAGTCCATTCTAATATTGGAGTTCACTGAAAATTAAAAAGCTAAACGAGTTTTTTTAAAATTCCATCCATTATTCTTTTAGCTCTCTGAGGCCACATAAGTTCAAGATGCGTCTCTAGATGGCCCTTTAGTGAAGAAAGGGCCTGCCTACCTTGGCCTTTCCCAGGGGCCCTAACTTGCACTGGCTTCCAGTTACACTGACGAACTATCTGTGTTCTTGTCAAAGAACAAGAGGGATAAACATGCAGGGAACATTTTACATCAGAGGCCAGTGAACTTTGTGTGACCCTGTTCCCTGACCCCTGGTAAAGAGCCCTAAGAGTTGAGGGCAGGTGCACTTCTCATGTGGTTCACTAAGCAACAACACGTGACTTGTGGGGGAAGGGAGAGCACGAGACTGCTGCTCTGTTCTCTCTTATGCTCTACTTCACCACGTTCCATCAATAATCCATCATGAGCAATTATTGGCATTAGAATCCTAAATATTAGAGATGAAAGACTTAAACTTTGGGGCAGTAGGCTTCTTTAGTGGTTTGGTTTTATGAAATTCTTAATAAAATTACATTTCACTTTGTGTGACTGTGCAAGCCATGGTACATGTGTGGAGGTTGAACTCACTTTTAGGTGTGGCTGCAGGTGCTCTGCCTACCTTGCTGGCCCTTCTCAGTGCTGTTTGCTTTGTTTTTTAATTATGAAGGGGGGGGTAGTGTGTGCAGGTTACTGCAGAGGCCAGAAGAAGGTGTCAAGTCCTGATGGAGCTGGAGTTACAATTAAGTGTGGACTGCTTGATATGAGTACTGAGAAACACTCAGGTCCTCTGCAATAGCAGTATACACTCTTAACTACCACCTCTCCCGCTCCATCCTTAGTGGTTTAAATAGGAAAAAACAAAAGGCAAACAACAGGATAAGTTCACATGAGGATTTAGTCTGGTGCCCCATCCCCGAAACCCAGGAGTTACAAGAAAAGGACAATATGTGTGGTGGTACATGCTGGAAGGCCAACGCAGAAAGACTTGAAGCCAGCATGGGCTATATCACAATAATACTTGTCTCGAAATAAACAGAAGAAAAAAGTAAATGAAAGCAAAGGAGGTATGGAGCTTAGAAGGAGTCACTGCAGGAGAAAATTCTCTTTCTGATGGGACCCACGCTGTGGTGCCTGGAAGGTTCACTGACTGCTCTTCCTGAAGAAATACCGAAACGGGAAGAGAGTGCTGCAGGGATGAGAGTAAAGGAGTCTGAGACTGTGAAGGTCGCTTCCCTTCTCCCTGGTTCCTATTAGTGCTTCATTAGCCCAGGCATTTTGCTCTGGGGAACCACTGAATGGAAATTCAAGTCCAAACAGCATTTGAGAAGGTACCCAAATTAGATTATACCCGGAAGAGGGAAATAAAGGGAAAAGAATTGCAGCAGAATGGCTGAACTCTAGACAAAGATTTGCTCAGTGTTCTCTGCAAAAAGGAGTTTGAACACACATCTAAATTCAGAGGGGAGACTGAAAGCATTCTGGACTCCATCTGAATAACCCAAGAAAGATAGACATTTCTGTTCAAATGACATTTGTAAAACAGGCCTTATGTGGGCCCCTCAGGGTAGAAGAACTGTACACAAATGAGCAGAGAGCAGAGCAATCCAAGCTAAAAATCAGCGGGGTCTACAAAGTGAGACCCTATCTTAAAAGAAAGAAACCTTGTGTGGTAGCACAACTTTAATCCCAGAACTCTGGAGGCAGAGGCAGGGGGGCCTCTGTGCCTTGGAGGCCTTGTCTACACTGTGAGTTGGAGGTCAGCCAGAGTTACATACTGAGACTTTGTCTCAAAACAAAAAAACAAAAAAACAAAACAAACAAACAAACAAAAAACAGTCTTTTAAATTGGGGCCCTTGTTCTCAATTCCATTTCCATCATAAAACTGAGAAATCTCAGTAAAGAATCTACTTCTCCAGTCTTGCCCCTCCAAGACTCAATGAAGCAACTAGTCCTAGAGATTGCTTTACAACTTGATGGCAAGTTGTAAAGCTGTCTTACCTTAGAAACCCGAAGAAGCCCCTGGCTCCTGGCTCTTTTAGCAGGTTGCTACGTTGCAGTGGCAGGCTATGCCCCAACTTAGCATCTGTAAGGAAAACACTCAGGCAGGGAAAAGAGGCTGGCCCAGAGGCTCCTTGATCTGTAAGATCACAGGGCAGCCTCACACACGGATTATTTAGAGCCAGGTGAAATGTTTGCTCTGACCTTTCCAATTTCACCTCAGCTCAGCAAGATTCTATTCTGACCTTGGCGTATTCTCAAAGTCAGGCTTGAGATATTTATACTGCTCAAGTCTCAGCCATCCTCCAGAGCTGACATGTTTCCACAAGGAGCCACAACTTGTCCAGTAATTCACATGTCTGCATCTGGGTAAGTGCATCCACTCCAACTCTTCATGTTGGGTAAAAGATCAGAGCACTGCAAGGGCATTCCTCAGCCTGCCAGAGCATCTGTCTATACCTCCAATTTATTTATTTGCTTTTTGAGACAAAGTTTTATGCAGCCCAGGCCAGCCTCTAACTTGCTTTTCAGTGAACCACTGGAGTTGTAGAATTGCAGGTATGCACATTGACTGGTTTTCCGAGGTGCTAAGGACTGTTCCCAGGGCTTTGTACAAGTGAGCTGAGCACTTTACCAACTGAGCTCCAGCTTCAGCCTCTGCACCTTCAATCTTAATGCTGAGGCCTTAGGCAAAGGAGAAAATGCTTCCCAGAAATAGTTCTTCAGCATCACAGAAGAGGGAACCACATCCCTTCCAACTTTACTTCAAAACCTTCCACTTTATTAGGAAATGTTCTGGAGTTGCAGGGCTACTGAGTTCACTGTCAGGGGCTGGGGAGGCTGGGCATGGTGGCTCACGCCTGTGATCTCAGCATGCAGGAAGTTCTAGAGTTAGGGCCAGCCTGAGCTCTACCACAAGAACCTGTCTCAAAGAACAAAACTTCCCATCAATCAAACAATAATCTCCCCAAACCTACCCTGTTCCTGGACATCAGTGACATTAGAAGCTGGGATGTCCTGATATTCCTGCTGAGCTTCTCCTTCCCTGTTCTGCTAAAAAACAAAACAAAACAACAACAACAAAAAAAAACAAGGATAAAATCTTCCTTTCTTTCTTTTTTGTTTTTGGAGATGGTGTTTCTCTGTGTGTAGCCTTGGCTGTCCTGCAATTCGCCCTGTAGACCAGGCTGGCCTTGAACTCACAAGAGATCCACTCTTTTTTTTTTTTTTTTTTTTTCTTAAGGATATCTTAAAACTTCATCCTACAGGGCCCACAATCTGGGTACTACTGGCTTCTGGTTGCCTAGGCAGGTCCTATATCTCCTTCTAGTCTTTTTCACTCCAGCTTCCTAACGTAGTCCCTCTAAAACCATGTTACAGAACAAGCCTGGCTGGGTTTGCCTCTCTATCCCTATTGCTTAGTGTCTGCTGGTACTGAAACTAAAACCAAATGTCTTTTGGTGCAGTCCATGGGACAAGACTCTACCACAAGCCACTGAGGTGAGGTTGTCCCATGACTTTGTGGTGCTATGGTTGTAAAGTGGGTGGCAGTTGTCAAGGAAGGCTTCACAGGGGAAGTGACATCTAGATGGAGCCTTGATGGATGAATGGAAATTTATTAAAAGTGGGGTGAGGGGCTGGTCAGGGAGAGCAGGACTTCTGGGCAGAGACACGAAAAGGGCACAGTACCATTACTGTGTAAATACAATCAGAATGGCTAGAGCCAGGAATGGAGGAAACATGACAGATGAACAGTCAGTATAATACAATGTAACCTTTTATCTCTCCATGTAGAAAAGTCTCTTTGTAGAAATTCCTTTGTATTTGAAGAGGACATCCTACAACCTGTTCCAGGTCCACATTTCCAGTACACACTGATGGTCAGAAACACAAGCACACATATTCTGCGGACTCTCTGCCAGCTGGCCTGTCTTCACCCAGCAGAGCCTGGTTGCACAGCAGCATGAATGCTATTCAGGCTGTGCTTCTGGTGAAGAATTTGTACAGGGTGCTAGGGAGGCTTAGCTGCAGTGGGTCCCTAGGAAGCCAGCACTGGCCCATATTCTAAGCATAAATTTCAAGTTAGCATGACAGATCTTTCTGAGATGAGCTTCTCCACAAACTTTTCAAATCCATATTTGCATCATGTTCCTATACAGGTGAGTGAGAGAGAGAGAGAAAGAGAGAGAGAGAGAGCTATAGGGAGAAAGGAAGAAAGCCATTCTTACCCTCCTAGACAGCAAGGCAGAATTTAGAAGGCTTAACTCTAGTTTCTTAAAAGGATAATTATTACAGATTTAATAAACCTATGATTTTTGGATTTAAGTCTTGCTGCAGAGATGACCAAATAGACAGCATTTATGAGGTTTGGTTATAAGGGATCATTCAGAGAGCAAAAGCCATCCCAGAAGCATGGAAACTCTTCTCACAAGAAGGGTAGCTTCCCTTCTTGTGTACAGGCTCAAACCATAAGAGAGCAAAGACATGGCTGAGGAAGACCGTGGTGCCACTGGAGAGGGCCAGCAGGGTGTTACATCTTGAAAGGTACTGACCATTCAGAGCCAGACCTGCTCAGAAAAGTGGAGAATACATTGTGCAGACTGTTCCACATCAGGGCCACTTATCTGTTCTTTCCTGTCTTTTAATCCTTTCATAGACTGACTCTCTAGGTCTTGGATCTAAAGGAACAAAAAGAAAGGGTCTTTCCTTCCCCAAACATGTCTCAAGAGACAAGTATTGTATTTTTTTAAGCGCTCCCTGCTAAAGCTTTTCAGTGTGTTCAGACATGTACAATCCTCCTGGCTGTATGTGATCCTATAACCCAAACTTTCCACAAAGGGGTGCAGATGCCAAGCACTGAACCATAGGAGCAAATTCAATTCTTCCAGCTCAAGTGGCTTGCACTGAGAGTCACTGTGATTACCTTAATTTAGGAGAAATCCTCTCCCTGGGAACAGGGTCTGTGTTGGAGGCTGTCTTTGGGCATTGAGTCAAAATCAATAAACATGCTCCTTTTGCTCAGCTTTTCTCTAAGCCCAGAGTCGGGTTGAAAAGGTAATTATGTTGAGTAAGAAGCTGTGGGTACTGTTCTTGCAGGAGATGATGTGTCAAACTAAGAATAGGAAGGTACGGAGGGTAGTGCGAGGGAAATGCTTCTTTATAGCAATTATCTTGCTTGTGTAGAGCACTTTGTTCTCCAAGCTTCGTGTACCCCTCTGTACTTTCTCATTTCTCTTCTTGACTCTCCAAAGGCTGGGAGTGCAGAAGGAGATGGCTTTCTACCTAAAACCACTCAGTGGGCTGTGGGGTTGTGAGTCAAAACTGGGGCCCCATCTTTTAATGCTGTTTCCAGAGGCAGAAGTCTAGATCCCAAGGGCACAGCCAAGTACTTAATGAACGCCTGGAAAGAAGCAGCCAGGCTTTACGTGTGCGTTGGGTGCCCTGGCACTCAATAGGCCTTAAACATAGCAAAACAGTAGAGGGGAAGTGAAGTTACTTTACTCCAAAATGTTTTAGGTAATTCCTGTGACCTTGGTGGACTTAAGGCCTGTCACTGTCTACACCATAATGATTTGTTCAGCAACAGTTCCCAGCACTGTCCCTGAATCCTGGGTATGCTGGCCTGCAGGCATAAAAAGTATCACACTCTTCCCCTTTGGCCCGGGCTTTTTTTTTTTTTTTTTAAGATTTACTTATTTACTATGTATACAATGTTTTATCTGCATGCACACCTGTATGTCAGAAGACTGCACAAGATCTCTTTCCAATGGTTGTGAGCCACCATGTGGTTGCTGGGAATTGAACTCAGGACCTGCAGAAAGGCAGGCAGTGTTCTTTTCCTCTAAGCCATCTCTCCAGCCCCTTGGCCTGGGCTCCTGAAGGGCTTCAGCTTCCCCAGGGATCTCTGCCCTCCAACCTCTTTGTGTTCTGTGCTTCCCATATGCGCACAGCAATCTGATTGTCTGGTCTGACATTTCTGGGCTTTAGAGGCATGATAGCCCAAGTACTCAGCACATCGTAGACACAGGATGGTGTCCTGGATGAATGCATGTTAGCTCTTTGCGCCTTAACTGTGAGTCTTGGGAAGGTGAAGGAGGTGACTATTAGTGTCTGGAACTTACGGTCAGAGCTACTTTGGAGACATAAAGAAAAATTTAAAAATGTGTATGAGGCATATGTAATAGGTAAGAGATATTTAAAAGAAGGAGGAAATTAAAAAATGTGCCACTTTTCTTTGGTGGGAAGAGGTGTTTCAAGATAGGATTTCTCCGCCCTGGAACTTGCTCTGTAGAGCAGGCTGTCCTTAAACTCAGAAATCCACCTGCTTCTGCCACTGAATGCTGGGGTTAAAGACATGTGCCACCACCGCCCAGCTAAAATGTGCTGTTTTAAGGACAACTATTGGGAAGGAGCCTTAAAGTATAGAAGTAGCCACTATATGAACATCTAAATGAAGATCTAAATGAAGAAACAAACCCATAAACCAAATAAAGTCAAACTGCATCAAGTTACTGGGACAGCCTGTCACTGTTCTAGGGGCTTTGTGTTTTTTTTTTCTTGTTGTTGAACATGTGCATATTAGTGCAGTACCCACAGAAGTCAGAGACCCCTGTGGGCAGAAAAGACCCCTCTGGAGCCGGAGTTACAGGAAGTTGTGAGATGCCTGACCTGAGTGCTGGGAATCAAACTCAGAACTCAGAGCAGCAAATGATCTTAAGCATTGTCCCATCTCTTCAGCCCTTTTAATTACCCCTTTTCAGGGGCAGAATCTATATAGCCCTGGCTGGCCTTGAACTCCTGGTGATCTTTTTGTTACATGTGTGTATATGAGCACAAGTGTGAAGGTGCCCCAGAGGCCAGAAGAGGGTAGTGGATTCCCTGGAGCTGGAGTTACAGAATTGTGAGCTGCCAAACATGAAGACTGGGAACTGAACTTCAGGTCTTCTGCAAGAGCAGCAAATGCTCCTAACTGCTAGGCCATCTCTTAACCCTCTGTTTATTTTTAGCAACAGGGTCTCACTATGTAACCTGGCTGGCTGGAACTCTATGTAGACCAGGCTGCCTGTGAACTCAAAAGAATTCAGATCCTGGCTCTGCCTCTTAAGTGCTGAGATTCAAGGCAAGTGCAACCATGTCCAACTTCCTCCTTTTTTTTCCCCCCCAAGACAGGGTTTCTCTGTGTATCCTTGGCTGTACTGGACTCACTTCGTAGACCAGGCTGGCCTCAAATTCACAGAGATCTGCCTGCCTCTGCCTCTGAGGGCTGGGATGATGGGTGTGTGCCACCACACCTGGCTGTTTCCTCCATTTTTTACAAAATAATTTAAAATTTATTCTTCCACAACTCCGCACATGTAAAATAGTCTATTTTGATCATCTTTCCTCCCTACTCTATTCCTGTCCTCTTCTCCTCACTCTGGAGCCTTCTTCCCCATACATCATGCTCCTGCTTTCATTTCTTTTTTCTTTAGGACTCATGACTTAATTAGGGCTACCTGCATGTGGATGGGACAGGGTTATATTTCCTGGATCACTGGCAACTTACCAGGGGTTACACTCCTACATAAAATGACTTCTTTTTCCTCCAGCACTTCATGAACTGCCAGCACCTCAGCTATAGTTGAACTCCATGTGCTCTTCCCCCTTCCATGAAGGCATGATAACTGGCAAGATCTTGTACAGGTTTAATTCAGCTAGCTGCTGCTGCTGTGAGTTTAAGAATGCACTGACTAGTCCTGTCCTGAGGACATCACTTCACGCCCTTCCACCCTACAGCTCCTACATTATTTCTTCCCTGTCTTGTTCATTTGCTTGTTTGTTTTCAGACAATGTCTTACTCCACAGCTCTGGCTGACCTAAAACTTATGGTGCAGTTAGGCTGGCCTCAAATTTCAGTCATCTCGCTGCCTTGGCCAGGGTGCTGGAATTATAGGTGTGCACCTCCACTCTTTATCAATTTCTAGTGCTGATTCATGTCTACCTCACCTGTTAAAACAAGATGTGCCCAGACTTAGACTCCAGTATAGACAAAGACAAAAAGTTGTCTACTGTGAGGATTCTACATCGAATTTCAGCCCAATTCACTGCAGACCTATTTTAAATTATAGAACATAAGCAGTTTTTAAGTTGAGAAGACTCTTAACACAAAGAACTCCATGGGTGTGTTCATTATACAACAACTTTAGGGACAGACTGTGACAAGCACAGAATAGATGAATGTCATTCTACAGAGAGTGAAACCCAAGAATGAGTTCAGTCAATTCAGTCTGTAGCAAGAACCCAGCTGAGTGTGTAACAGGAACCCAGCCTGTGACAGAGAACGAACCATTAAAAGCCTCAACGCCTCCATCTTGATGCTTACCCTCTTAGTTTCCTTCAGGGGCTTCCTACTGCTGGAAACTTCACTAGAAGTCTGTATCTTGGCCCTGAAGTGGGGGAAGAAAGCCCAGGAAATGTCATTGGCTGTGGAAACTTTACCACATTCAAGCAAATGTAGCCCAAATGAATATTTCAGCAAGTTGGCTATTTTTATACTACTCCTGGCTGGCAGGGAAGAAAAAAATGTGTGGCAAAATTTTCTTTGGTTGCTTTAATTTACAATAGAATTTCAATTGCAGACATTTAAGGGCATGTTTGAGACACAGAAAATGCGATGGACAGAGGTATCAGGCTATGAAATGTTCAGTCGTGTATCAAAACCCAGGGGGGATTTGGGGCCTCATCTCTATGGGAAAATCAGCTAAATAAAATAAAACCAAGTTTCACACCTCAAATATGCTCACATTCCACATGGCTTGGAATGAACTCCCTACTTGTCACTGACTCCACCCAAAAAGCACAGAGTCAGCCCCTTCATAGTCTGCCTTCGCTGCTCTTATTTGTCTAGGGGCCCTCAAGTCCTAGGTGAGCCTGGCATGAAAACATGGGCTGGGGAGCAAACCACACCTTGGATTATTCCAGGTGGCCTCTCTGGGATGCCAAGAATGGCTAAATTGGCTTATTGACTAATTCTTCCATTGACAGAAAATCAAAAGGACACAAGGAGCCTCTCCAACAGCAACTTCAACATGTTGGGATATGCTCAGAATTCCCTCTAACAATTCATGCACACTACATTTTTTTAAGACAGCTCTCTCTAGTGTCCCTGGCTGGCCTCTTGCGCTGAGTGACTCTACTGTTCCTGCTCCCTGAGTGCTGAGGTTATTCGTGGGTGCCCACCACACACAGTGTCTTGCACACATTTGCATTTTAGCCAATTGCTCATGGGATAAAACAAATTCTAGTTTACTTGTTCTCATTCTTTCAGAGCTTTTTGAATGTGTATGTTTGTGTATGTATAGGTGCACATGTATGGGGGTGTGAATATACACACGTGTACACCTGTGGCTAAGTACAACTTCCAGTTCTGGTCTTTGAGTACTGTCCACTTCATAAAATCTGAGACAGGGTCTCTTAACTGCTTGGGGCTGCCAAGTATACTAGGCTGGCTAGCCAGTGAGCCCCATGGATCTACCTGTCTCCCATAATGCAATGATAGGCCTGTGCCACCATACCTGGCTGCTCCCATGTGTTCTGTGACCATATTCAGAACCTCATGTTTGCATGGCAAGTACTTCACCAACAAAGCTATCTTCTCAGCCTCCTTCTGTTTGCGTATAACATTCTCAGACTTCCTAAGTTTGTGCTTTCTACACATAATAGCATACATTTTCACTGACTATGCTGAGTTCAGTTCTTAGGTCTGTTTCCTCTTAGCCTTTGTCTGCATTTTTCTTTTGGATGTCAGGGCCTCACACTCACTGAGGTGAGTACTCCATCAAGCTACAACTCCAATTCATCCTTTATCTTCACGAACAGAACAATCTTACTTTGCTGACAGACTTTAAATGAAATAGAAAATACCAACTTATTTCCTTTTCTCAGTTTATTCCTGGGGTAGTCAAGGTACTGAGGAACCCTCTAAATCAAGCAACTGCCCAAGGGCAGAATCAACAGGCAGCAATAGGTGGCAAAGCCTCTTGACACCACTGACCTATGTGGCCCTGGACTGCTAGGGAAGCTGGGATCTTCCATGAGTTTTCGTTTCTTCATTGTGGCTTCTTCTGCTTCCTTCTCAGCTAGGACCTGCAGAGAGATGAGACTCCTGTGACCCTCCTCTTCTAAAGACGCTCACAGGTTAGGAGGGCCCAACACAAAGTACTGCCTACCGGAGGCAACTTGTAATACCTCCACTTCAGCAACACACTCTGCCAGAGACACTGCCTCTGAAATCTAGACAAAGGAGACCTCATATTTACAGTTGTGATGGGACTTGAGCAGCAACTGAGAAGCAAAGGCAAGAACAGCAATTTTGAGACAAGAAAGACAATTTTCATTTTGTATAGAAAAAAGCAAAACTTATCCAGGCCTGTGGTGACTCACAGCAGAGGCAGGTGGATCTCTGTGAGTTCGAGGCCAGCCTGGTCTACAAAGGGGTAAGCACAGCCAAAGCTACACAAAGAAAAACTGTCTTTAAGAAAACAACAAACAAACAAACAAACAAAAAACAAAAAATGGGGGGGGGGGAGAAAAACTTACCGACTCAAGAGGAATATCATCTGTTGGTTTCCCTACAATGGGAAATTTGACTGTCATAATGGATTAAGACTGTTTTACCAGGGTTTCTGGACTTTATTTCTGGGAACTAGCTTGAGACAAAACTTCTGCCTGAGCCCTTTCCTTTTTTGCCTAGTACAACTTTCCCTACAGTGTCTTTAGGCTTCTGTCCTACCCTGCTCCAGAACAACTGTTACCTCTAAGCCAAAGTGGAGTTGATTCATGCCACACTTTAACAGTGTGCTCCTCAAAAGAGGATGAATGACTAGCTGGGTATCTTCTGTTGTTCTCCATCTAATTCCCTTGAGGCAGAACGGCTCACTGAATCACAGCCCAACATTTCAGCGAGGCTGGCCAGCCAGTGAACTCCTAGAATCTGCCTGTCTCTTCCACACACACTGACCCCCCAAAGAGCAGGATTACAAGTACATGTGGCCACGGGCAATGGGGATTCAAACCCAGGCCCTTGTGCTCCCATAATAAACATTATTACCCACCAAACCATATCTCCTGCCTTCTTTTGTACTATTTCAAACCAGTATATCATGCATTTATTTGTCTCTTAGAAAAATAATCATATTCTCCAGAGATTAGTAACTGGAAGATACTGTTAAGACATCACTGAGAAGGCCAGCCCTGGCCTTTAATCTCAGTACTTGGGAGGCAGAAGCAGGTGGGTCACTGAGTCTGAGGCCATCCTGGTCTACATAGTGAACTCTAGGACAGCCAGGGCTATGTAGAGAAGCCCTGTCTCACAAACAAAAACAAAATTAAGTGTTTGCATGGGTATCTGTCACTGAGCAATTACTCTACAGATACACTATGTATTTCCACCCACCAATATGTATACATACAAACCCTGAAATTAGTGTCTCTTCTCCATTTTACAAAGGAGACACAGGCAGATTAAATAATTTATCATAGTGCCTAACCCACAGGGTGCTGAAGCAAGCTTGCAGGAAATGTTCCTGTGTCTGTCCTGTGTGGTCAGAACCCAGTTGGGCAGACAGCGTTATGGCATTCCTGCCCATTTCCTTTTTACCACCCTCATTCTCATTCTACTTACCTGAAGGCAGATGTGCAGCAAACCATTTCATCTCTACATACAGTGTAAAAACGAATGGGCAGGGGGTCAAGATGACTTCTCCATGTTTAAATCTCAGATGGGAAACCCTCTCCCACTTACTTTTATCTGCGGATGGTGCTAAGGAAATGAGGAAGGGGAACAGCATGCATCCCTGCTATGAAGGCCGGGACTTCTCTGACTTTCCAAACTGCCTTTGATCTCATTGCTTCCATTTGAATCTATAGCTGTAGCTCATTTACAGCTCAGAAAAGCTACCTAGTGAGATCAGCCGTGGCTAGGTACTCCAAAAGCCCAAGTCAGGTTTTGCATAGGGTTACAACTGTAACCTAGCTCTTGGGAAGCAGAAGTAGACCCGGCCTGGGTCACATGAGACAGGGTCTATTTTAAACATCAAACTCCGCTTTTCAAGAAGAAAAAAAGACCAGGAAAGAAAGGATACAGGGAAATACAATAAAGTGTTGTGTAACAAAGGGCTGCAGGTTGTCCATGTTTGCCAGGACTACACGGATAGAATCCTGAAAAAGATATTTAAAGTCATTTTAATACTGCTGAAGCTCAGCTAATCTTTCCACTTACATCTTTCATTCTGTTTGTTATTGCTTGTTTTTTTTTTTTTTTTTTTTTTTTTTTTTTTTTTTTTTTTTTTTTTTTGAGACAGGGTCTTACTGCATAACCCTGTCTGGCCTGCAACTACTATGTAGCCAAGGCTAACCTTGAACTCAGAGATCTGCCACCATAGAGATCAGCCACTATGTTCATATCATCATCATTATTATTGATTTTTGAGACAGAGTTTCTCTGTGTAGCCTTGGCTGTCCTGGACTCACTCTATAGACCGGGCTGACCTCGAACTCACAGCACTCTGCCTGCCTTTGCCTCTCTGAGTGCTGGGATTAAAGTGCCACTACGCCTGGCTTATATTATTATTTTTTTAATTAAAAAATGTTGATAGGCCGATTATGGTCGGGAGGCTGATGCAGGAAAATCTCTACGAGGTCAAGACCAATCTGGTCTACAAAGAGAATTCCAGGACAGCCAGGACTAAATAGAGACCCTGTCTCAAAACAAAGAAAGAAACAAACAAAAATTGTTGGGGCTAGAGAGATGGCTGAGTGGTTAAGAGCACTGGCCAATCTTCCACAAAATCCAGTTTCAATTTCCAGCACCCACATGGTGGCTCACAACCATCTATAACTCCAGTTCCAGGGGATCCAACACCTCTTCTGGCCAACAAAAGATGGCATGCATATAAACTAAAATAATAATAAAATAAAATGTGTGTGTGTGTGTGTGTGTGTGTGTGTGTGTGTGTGTGTGTGCGTGCGCGCGCACATGCCCCTCTTGGTGGAGGTGGGGCACACACATGCTACAGAAGCCAGGCTTTGGGAATTCTCTCACTCCACTGTGTGGGTCCTGGAAATAAAACTCAAGTTGCCAGGCTTGACAGCAAGCATCTTTACCTACTGACCAATCTCAGTACCCTCACATACCTGTGCTCTAATGAAACTGAACTATTTGCTGTTTCCTAGTTGTATCTTCTGTTCCTCCATTTCAAGAATTTTGCTGTCCCTTCTGCATGAAATGCATTTTCATCAGCACCTATGTAAATCCTACTTGTTTTACATAGAAGGTTCAGTTCAGAAGACAGCCCTGCAGAGAGCTATCCCTGCAGTGATAATGATTTATTTGCTCAAACTTTATGACAGTCAGCCCAAGGCCTTGCACTGTATTCTACATATATGGTCCATTTTCCTTACTGAGAGAAGGTAAAGAAAATTCTGGAAGCACTTGATCCACCTGCTTTATCAGAGCATCTCTTCAACAGTATTATTATTAATTATTATTACTATTACTTTTGTTTTTGAGACAGGGTTTCTCCATGTAACAGAGCCCTGGCTGTCCTAGATTCTCTTTGTAGACCAGGCTGGCCTTGAACTCATAGAGATCCACCTGCCTCTGCCTCTTGAGTGCTGGGATTAACAGCATGCACCATTACACCCCATGTCTTTGTATAACATGACTTTAACAACAAGAGCATAACATGTCTTTAACAACAGATATGAATAAACAATAATAATACTTATTGACATATAGTTACTTTGCTTTTGCTCAAGTCAAAAAGCCTTGCTTGAATTCTTAGTTGATTAATCCATAATTAATCTATGCTCTTTAAGAAGTCTAACTCTGAATTCAAGACCAGCCTGGTCTACAAAGCAAGTCCAGAACAGTCAAGGCTACACAGAGAAGCCATGTCTTGAAAAACCAAAAAGAAAAAATAAGCCAGGCATGGTGGCACACGCCTTTAATCCCAGCACTCAGGGAGGCAGAGGCAGGCAGATCACTGTGGGTTCCAGACTGGTCTATAAAGCTCCAGGACAGCCAAGGCTACACAGAGAAACTGCCTCACCCCCCCCCCAAAAAAAAAAGGTCTAAATAATTTGCCAGTATAAAACAAGTGCTGGGAACTGGAGAAATGGCTCAGAGGTTAAGAGCACTGGCTGCTCTTCCAGAGGTCCTGAGTTCAATTCCCAGCAACCACATGGTGGTTCACAACCATCAGTAATGAGATCTGGTGCCCTCTTCTGGCATATAGGCACACATACAGGTAGAACATTGTATATATAATAAATAAATAAATTCTTAAGATAAAATAAAATAAGTGCTTGTACCGCAGGCTGGCTCAATAGAGAAAAGCTCCTGTTACTCGGTTTGAGAACCTTGGTTTAATCTCTGATATCCACATGGTAGGAGAGAACCATTTCCTACAAGTTGTCCTCTGACCTCCACATATGCATTATGGTGCATGAGTGTATACACACACACACACACCAACACACAAAATGTTTTTTTAAATAATTTTCTATGACTTTCTTTTAGTGGGAGGAAAGCCTTATGCATCATATATTCTCCTACTGAACTACGTTCCTAGCTCATGACCACTCATTTTCTTTTGTTTGGTTTGGCTGGCCTTGAATTCACAGAGATCCGCATGCCTCTGCTGCCATTACAGGCATGCAGAGCCAGGCTAATAGGTCCTGGTTGTTTATTTTTGTTTGTTTAGGTGTGGGTTTTTTGGTGTTGCTGTTGTTTTGTTTTGTTTTCTTGAGTCAGGGTTTCTCTGTGTAGCAGCCTTGGCTGTCCTGAATTTGCTTTGTAGACTAAGCTGGCCTCACTAGGCCTGGAACTCACAGAGATCCACCTGCCTCTGTCTCCGAAGTGCCATCACGAACCAGCTAAAACCACTCAGTTTCTATGGAAAAAAAATCTGAGTTTCAATTTCAACTTTTGGAATTTTACTTTGCTTTCCTCAGGTTTGGGCCCTGGGAAACGGAAACTGTCATTTGTTGTTGCATGCTACTATACTAGCATGGTGAACTGCTTGTAATATAGCTGCTATCTATGATAGCGTTTTTTGGTATGTAGATGTGTGGGTATGTACATGTGCCCACATGCATGTGTGTGCACATATACAGGAGCCCAGACATCGACACTGAGTGTCTTCCTCCATCTCTGCACCTTAGATCTGGAGACAGGATTACTCACTGACGCCAGAGCTCATTGATTTGGTGAAGCTGGCCAGCCTATGAGCTCTAGGGATTCAATGTCTCTGCCTCCCCAGCACTGGCATTACACAGTGCTGAGCTTGTGGCTGCTGAGGATCTGAACTCAGGTCTTCATGCTTTTGTAGACACTTTTACAGCCTCTAGAGCTGATATTTTGAATAATTAAATATATACCACTTACTATTTTTCTAATGGAATAAAATTGAATGATAATATCGTCCCTGAAACTAATAAGGAGTGAAGGGGAAGATGTAGGCCTGGAGAGGTAGCTTGGTGGCAAAGAGCATGGGCTCTTCTGGAGGACCCTGGTTTGATTTCCAGCACTCACATGCCTGCTCATTACCTGTTACTCAAGTTCCAGAGGATACAACACCCTCTTCTAGCCTCTGCAAGCACCAGGCACATGGCTGGTACATGAACATGCATGAAGGCAAAACATCAAAACACAAAAGAAATAAATAAAATTTGTATAAATAAAAGAAAACATATAAAAAGTATTTGCTGCTAGGTATGGCGGCACATGCTCGTAAGGCAGGGGGTGGGAGGATTATGAATTCAGGGCCAACCTAGGGTTCATAGTGAGATCTTGTCTCAAAAAAATTTTGTTTTAATACTTTGCAGCTGGGCATGATCCCAGCACTTGAAAACCTGAAGCAGGAGGATTGTCATTACTTCCAGGTATATCTGGTTTTCATGACAAGTATCAGTCTAGTAAGGGCTACTACCAAACAAGAGCCTATCTCAAAAACCAAGAAAAGGGGATGTTTCAGTGGTTAACAGCACTGTCTGTTCTTCCAGAGGTCCTGAGTTCAATTCCCAGTAATCACATGGTGCCTCACAACCATCTACACTGATGCCCTCTTCTGGCATACAGGTGTACAGTAGATACAGTACTCATACATAAAACAAGAAAAGGGGCTAGAGAGATGATTCAGAGCACTGACTGTTCTTCCAGAGGATCGTGGTTCAACTCCCAACACCCATGTGGTGGCTCACAACCATCTGTAGCTCTAGTCCCAAGGGCTCCGACACCCTCTTTTGGCCTCTTCAGACACCTGAAACACATGTGGTGCACAGATCTATATGCAGGCGAAGTACCCATATACATAAAATATAAACACAATTAGAAAAGAGTTGGGGATACAACTTAGATGGTTAGAGTCATTACTTAGTATGTATGAAGTCCTGGGTTCAGTCCCAGCACTGTATAAACCAGGTGAGATAATAGACACCTATAATTCCAGGCAGGAGTATCAGCAGTTCAAGGACATCCTCAGCTACAAACACCAGTCTGGGATACATGAGACCCCACTGCAAAAATGAAAACACATACACATTCACACAAATGCACACAAAAGACAAATAGTGGAGGCTCTTATCTGAAATCCCAGTACTTGGGAAGCAGAGGCAGAAGGAGCACTGAAAGTTCAAAGCCAGCATCATCTACACAACAAGGCCAGAATATGTAGTGAGATCCTGTGTCCAAAAATAAATCCAGACCAAATAAACAAAAAGGTAGTCAGCAAATTTTAATATGCGCATACGTGTGTGCAAGTGCTTTCTAGCCTGCGTGTGCCCCGCGTTAGACACACCTATTCCATGTCCGCCCCACAATCTTGGAAACAGATTAACCTCATTCAACAGGTGAAGGGACAGGCTAGAATTCAAGGCCAGGCCCCAGAACTCTGTTGGTCTAATGTTTTCACCAGTTTACAAAGCTGTATCCCTGCTCAGTCTTCTTTCTGGAAATTTCTAACAAGCAGAGCTGTACAGAAAAGGAATGAACATGAACTTGGAACAAAGCAATGGCAAATGTTTCCAATTAAAATGAAGACACAGCCACTTGTCAGTGTATTTATTGCCCAGTTTCCTGAACGTCAGACATCAGGCAGTGGTTGGGGTAGTGGCATTTCCAGAGCCCTGGAAGGCAGCACTTCTCCGGAAACGTCTTTGTGCCAACTACCACAACAGAGCTGCCCTGTCTGGGAACCTTGGTGGAAACAAACAATGACTAGTCTCAAAAGCACTCTGCTCATACTTTAGTGAGAATTGAGAAAGGACACAGGCGTTAAAAGTTTCCTGGAAAAATGGTAGCTTCTTTGCATGGAGATTCCAATTTCTTGGGTAGGATTTGTGGAAAAAAAAAAAAATAGATGCCTGGGTATGAAGCCTGATGGTGGTGGTGCATGCCTTTAATCCCAGAACTTGCCTGTAGATTTCTGAGTTCAAGGCCAGCCTGGTGTACAGAGTGAGTTCCAGGACAACCAGGGCTACAGAGAAACCCTATCTCAATAAAACACAATCAACCAACAACAAAAGCAAGTTTGGGTGTGGATTCATCCTTGACTCATGGATAGTTTCTTCAGAAATTGTCTGATGTTTTTCCTACCTCCAACTCCTGGATGATATCTTCCTTATCCTCTATTTCTTCTCCTCTAGAAGGTAAACAGAGCACCATAAGAAAGCAAGCCATGTCCAGCATCTGAAACAAACTATATTATAGTCTGTGGCTGACTCAGTGCTCTCCTTACACTGTTTGAGCATTGGTACAAAGTTGCCCCCCAAAGTCTTCTCTGTTAAACTTAAAAGACCTTATGTTTCTGCTGTAATTAAAGCACTGGATTAAAAGTGTGAGCCAATCTTCTCAGCAACCACAGAACTCAAGTTTCAAAAAATAAAACCAAAGCCTCCATTATAAGTTTGGCTGAATTACAGCAAAAGTTCAAGTCTTAGCTTGGAAGGTATCAACAGTTAAACTAAGGGGATTTATTGGTTAAGGAATGGGATCCTATAACATATGATGGAGATGTGTGGGAGGACCCTATCGAAGCTGAGAACTTTGTACCCTCTGATTCTCAGAAGTTTATCTCACCTGAGGAACTAGTCTCTCCACCTATGGCAGAATATGTATTCCCCACAAGACCCTGAAATATTGCTTTTTCCACCTTGACTGAGGAAATTAATCTTCCATTGTCTGCCATACCTGCAGTGACTTTCTCTGAAGGAGTTGCCAGACAACACAATACTAATGTCCCTCAGGGCCCACCAATAGTTGCCTCTAGACCTATAGCTAAGCAGTTTCCTACAGGGGAGATAGAACGTGTATAGCCAGGCATGGTAATACACACCTTTAATCTTAGCATTTGGGAGGCAGAGGCAGGAGGATCTCTGTCAGTTCAAGGCCAGCCTGATCTACAGAGCATGTTCCAAGACAGCCAAAACGACACAGAGAAACCCTGTCTCAAAGGAAGACAGTGTAGTCCATGCAGAGGAGCACTCTACTACTAAAGAGCTTAATGAGTTTGCTACTTCATCCATGCAGAAGTCTGGGGCAGATGTGTGGGAATGGACTTCAAGGGTGTGGGACAATGGTGGAAGGAACATAAAACTGAATCAGGCTTTAATTTACTGATATAGGCCCACGGAATGCAGAGTCTAGTTTTAATATGGAAGCTTGTACAGATGTCAAAAATTTGTTTGAATGGTTGGCTGAAATAGTTGTCAAAAATGGTCTACTGAAAAGGAGTTGGAGATACCTGATATCCCTTGGTTTAATGTTGATGAAGGGTTTTTATAGCTCAGGGAAACTGCAATGTTAAAGTGGTTAAGCTGTGTAAAACCTAACAGTCCACAATTGGAAGAACAGAAAGGCATGCCTTTCACTAATTTTGTAAGATGCAAAGTTGTGAGAGGCACCAGCACATTTGAAGAGCTTTATTGTTGTCCCTTCCCTGTGCTAGACCTTAGGGTTAGGATGCTTCTGCTCAGTTGGTCAAATTAAATGCAGTGGATTTAGTTGGGCCCCAAAGTAGCAGGGGCCAGGTGGCAGCACTGAATTGCCAAATGGGCAGCATATTCAAAGCAATGTCAAGAGTGGCCTAGCCCATTCACACAGCACAAGCAAAGTGATCTTCATGGTGGCATGACTCATATGGACTTTCATATTGGCTAATCAAGCATGGTGTTTCTAGGCATGAAATAGCTAAGAGGCCTACTGATTTTTTTTTTTTTGTTGTTTGATCTGTATAAGTGGAAAAATTCTCAAACAAATGAAAAAAAAAAAGGCTACATTGGATGGTTGCAAAAGGAATCTTGGCCTGTGAACCAATTACCAATTTCCAGACTGGAGCCAGTTTGCAGCTCCTGAACCCCTTGAACGAAAGACTCAGGTTCCCCTGAGAAAGGACTTTGATAAAATACCTCAGAGTTTTACTGTTAGCCTTTCTCCAGTCCTTCTCTAGAGAGACTCACAGCCTTTTAAAAGGATAACTATACATTGGGGAAAAAGAAGCAATCAGATATTCTGGAGTCTATTGAGTACTGATTATGAATTGATCCTGATTCTGGGGGACCCCAAGAAATACTGTGATCCTCCAGTTAAAGTAGGCCATGCAATTCATGGAGTTTTGGCTGAAGTCCAATTCACAGCAGGTTCAGTGGGTCCCCACACTCATCCTGTGGTCATTTCCCGAGTTCATAATTGGGACAGATATACTTAAAAGTTGACAGGATTCCCACACTGATTCACTGACCTATGGAATGAAGTCTACTATGGTTGGAAAGGCTAAATAGAAGCCTTTAGAGTTGCCTCTGCCAGGAAAAATAGTGAACCAAAAACAGTATTGCATCCCTGGAGGAACTGCCACCATCATGGTAGTCCACACAGTATTGCTTCTGACCAAGGAACCCACTTTGCAACCACAGAAGTTGACAGTGGGCCCACAATCACGGAATCAGTGGCCTTATTATGTTCCCTACCATTCTGAAGCAGCTGGCATGATACAGCTGAAACGGCCTTTGAAGATAGTTACAGGGCCATTTAGGTGGCAGCATGCTAAAGAGCTGCAGCAGGGTTCTGCAGGTGTGCTATACTTTGAGTCAGTGCCCAATACATGGTACAGTTTCTCAGAGAGCCAAGATCTACAAATTCAGGAATCAAGGGGTAGAAAAGGGGAATAGTTCCACTCACTATCACCCTTCGTGACTCAGCAGGAAAGTTTTTGCTTCCTGTTCCTGTGACCTTGCCATCTGCTGGTCTAGAAATTTTGGGTCCAGATGGGGGAGTAGCCCTACCAGGCGACACAACAAACATTCCATTGAGCTGGAAGGTCAGACTTCCCCCTGGCCACTTTGGGCTTCTAGTACCCTTAAGCCAAAAGGCTAAGAAAGGAATAACAGTTTTAGGAGGGGTGAGATCCAGATTACCAAGGAGAAATTGGATTGTTGTTGGAAATGGAGGTAAGAGAGATTGTAGTGCAGGAGATCCTTGGCGCTTCCCATGTTCTGCTATTAAAAGTCAAGGGGAAACTACAACAGCCTCCGTCAGGCAGGGTGATAAAGGGCTTAGACTCGTCAGAAATGAAAAGGTATGGATTACTCCTCAATGAACAGAACCAAAACCTGCTAAGCTGCTTGCTGAGGATGAAGGAAATACAGAATGGGCAGTAGAGGAAGGTAGTTATAAATCCTAGCTAAGACCATGTGACCAGTTGTAGAAAGAAGGATTATAATTGACATGAGTGCTTGTCATGTTTTGTTAAGAATGTGTTTGTACAGATACTTATTTTCTTTCCTTGATTTCTTTTTTTTGATTTATTTTTACACATGAGTGCACGCCTATGTGACAGAAGAGGGCATCAGATCATATTATAGATGGTTGTGAGCCACCATGTGGTTGCTGGGAATTGAACTCAGGACCATCTGAAAGAACAGACAGTGCTCTTAACCACAGAGCCATCTCTCCAGCTCCCTTGATTTATCATGTAATAAACATCAATTAAGAGAATATAAGTGGTATCATATTTAAATATGAGATACTAAAAGAATGTCTCTCAAGGTACATTGCCACCTTTTCTAAAATTTATAATACATCTGCAGTTGTGAAAGCAATAGTTCTATTGTGTTAGGTGTATTTATGAACAAGTTAAAAGCATAATGCATTTGCAATTGTCTATGGGATAGTTATATCATGTTAGGCATAATTATAACCTGTTTATTATTTTCATTTGGAAATCAAGCATTACTTAAGAAATGATAGTATGTCAAGCTGACAAGGGATAGACTTGTAATGGCTACTCTTGAATTAACTAAAATCTAAATGGATGAATAGATCTGTGAAGAATTTTTCTTAACTAAATCATTTTTAGTGGGAAGACCACTTTTAATACAGATTGTTTGAGGTAGGAAGATATACTTTAATCTGGGCTATACCTCCTGCTGGCAGCCTATATAAAGGACAAGGAAAAAAGACGCTTGCTCTCTTTGGCAGCTTGCTCTCTATCTTGCTGGTAAGTCCATTCCTTCACTGGCATTAGAGCCTACTTCTGTTATTAATATTTATTATTGATTTATCTGGAGTTAAACAGCAGTTATTCCTAATCCAACTGTATATCCAAATCATCACACAGAGACTAGGATTTAATTAGTTAACCTAGAGCACAATGCTGGGCAATAGTTACTCCATCCTAAACCTCCAAGCCCATATAGCTTCCTACCATTCAGATTTTACCCATTATACTTGTTTTTAGTCATATCTTAGGTCGGATTCATTTCTCCTCTCTTGGTATGAAGTCCCCTCCTGCCAATCTCTCTGCTCCTACTCCTCTCCTCTTTCTTCTCCTCCCCTCCAGCCTAGGATGTCCCACCCTATTCTCTTCATTGCACAACACAGGCTGGTTGTTTAATTGACAAGTATAGAGAACAAATGGTGGCATGTTTACACAAACTTGGTTTCAATGTCCACATTGAAACCAGATAGTGGAGTAGAGAAATCAGCATTTGAATGAACCAGGGTACATTCCACAAGAATATTAAACCAACATACTTGTTCAGGATTCTGGAGTATGCTGAAGACTGGGTGAAAGCTCTAGCCCCATGGACTGAACCAACTACTGGATTCTTGGACCTTCCATTGGTAGACAACCATTTTTGGATTAGCTGGACCACAGCCTGTAAGCCACCCTGATAAATCCCCTTCATATATGTGTGTTTGTATGTAAGTATGTATTTATGTATATATTCTATATGTATATATATTTATATAATTAAATTCGATTAAGTTCTGCTCCTCTATAGTATATTGACTAATACACTATGCAGTAAAACAGGAAGCATTGAAAAAAAGTACTTGTGTGTCACTTTGAGTAAGCTGCTTTTTTGTTTGTTTGTTTGTTTGTTTGTTTGTTTGTTTTTGAGACAGGGTTTCTCTGTGTTGCCTTGGCTGTCCTGGACTCACTCTATGGACCAGTCTGGCCTCAAACGCACAGAGATCCATCTGCTTCTGCCTTCCAGAGTGCTAAGATTACAGGGATGCAACACCATGCCTGGTACAAGCTGCTCTTTTCATGCAATAATAGCTACTTGAATAATTAGCTGACAACAGGCTGTTATTCACCTTTGAAAGGTTAACAGACATTTTCTCAAAAACGAATAAAGTGGGCATGTCAAATCAAGGAAAATAACTGACAGTATTTGTTCTCAAGTTTTGGGCTTTGAAGAGAAAAATTTGAAATTTGGAAACTTCTATCCATCATTGTGAGTTTTGACAGTGTTCATAACTTAAGTACTCTCCAGATAAAACTGGTAGCAGTATTAACAACTACTATTGGTATTATATAATGAACCGTGTCACTATCTGGACAATCTATATAAGTCAACACATCAATATTTTCCAGATGACCAATGGAATGCATCATATTATAAAATCAGACTGGGTAAAACAGTCATCAAAACACAACCCAGATCCGGCTTTGTGGCACACATCTTTAATCCCGGCACTCAGAAGGCAGTGTTATGCCCAGTTTGTGAGACTCCCAAAGACCACCAGGAATTGACTCTGCTGCAAAACACATGAGGATCTTTTTATTACAAGCTCAAGCCTGGGTCATAGCAACCTCCCTGCTGAAGAGGAGGAGTGCAGCCCCATGGTCTAAGGGAACAAGGTTTTTAAAGGGCAAAACCACAGGTAGTGGGTTACATGCCTTGGTGTTACATGATTGGGTATGGGAAATTGACTTTTGAAATGATTGGTTTACTTTAGGTGCCAAGACCATAAATGGTTCAGGCAGGTGGATTTCTGTGCATTCCAGGCCAGTCTGGTCTATATTATGAGTTTCAGAACAGCCAGGGCTATGCAATGAAATTCTTCCTCAAAAACAAAACAAAAATTGCCCAAACCCAGAAACTCAAAGTTGGGATGGTAATGCATGTCTATAAGCCAGTACTCTGGAGGCTGCAGCAGGAGGATGCTTGGGCTATACAAATAAAAAAAAGGAAACAGACCAACGGATCTTTGTGTAGTTGAGTTAAAAAACAATGCAACTCTTTCTTTTTGGAGGGGGCAGGTGGGTAGGGTTCAAGACAGGGTTTCTCTGTGTAGCCTTGGTTGTCCTGGACTTGCTTTGTAGACCAGGATAGCCTCGAACTCACAGTGATCCTGAGTACTGGGATTACAGGCATATGCCACTGTGCCTGGCTTCTTTAGGGTTTTCTATGAATAAGATAATATCTTCAAGATAGTTTTGCTTTTTATCTTGTATAGTTTACCTTCTTGTCTAAGTGCTCTGGCTAGAATTCAGTGTTAAGCTGAGTGCAAATGCTGAAAGTGGGCATTCTGATTTTTTAATTTAAATTTTTATTTTCTTAATATTAACAATTATCTATCTATCTATCTATCTATCTATCTATCTATCTATCTATCTATCTATCTATCTAT